TCCCCCCCACTTTTTCAAATGATTAGTTTAGACCCCCCAACTTTTACTATGCGGAAAGTCCGTGAATCGGTCTATCCACTCGCCGCACTTTGTAGAGCGCTGTGTCAGTGCTTCACTATCAAATGAAATCCATTCCACTTGCTTATTGAGAGAATGCCCAAATCAATGAAACTCCGTACCATGTTTTCACTGCTACTTTGTACCAAGGCAGATTCTCACATAGCGCGCGCATGTTCAAGGAGTGTTGTCATAGTTGGACAGCTCAGATCTGTTGAATGAAGCGATGCCGGTAGCGTAGGTAAGGCACACACACCAAATGTTCAGGAAATGGTTAATACAGCGAAAATCAAAGCTGACGATCTCTTGGTTTGATATGTTTTCTCCCCCAGACAACATGGACATAAGAAAAAAAAATTCAAAGAAGAGGAAAGTAAGTCATCAGCTGGTAGCAGTTAATCAGTTAACAGTGAGGGCGGCGTCTCACTTCTGGAGAGGAGTTTCGTCTTTATGTCATGATAGAGAAATACAAATACTGAATAGTTTAGAAGAGAAAAGGCATCGAAATGCCAGGTTACTAGTATTTATCATGTACACAGGGAACATGAATAACCCGATCTCTCTGTGCTCATGTAAACACCATAACCCCAATATGATCATAACCAGGATAATACTCATAAACGGCTTACTGATGTCCATGTAGAGACGCAGTCAGTGTGTTTTACTGGAGCCTCAGTTCGATAAGAGATTCTTTTCTGAGTTCTTTAACTTAGGTACTCTCTCTCAAAATGGTAATGTGCATTATGTTTTAATTATACTTCTTATCATTCAGAAGCTTTTTGTGTGTGTTTATGTTTTACTGAGTGCTTATAGGCTATTTCCATCCCAGTATTCAGTTAACTATTTATTTTCTGTGCACATTACATAGACTAGCTAATATTCTACCTACTGCTTGGGACTTTGAGTCTTCAAAATGTCCAATGTCACAGACTGGGACTTCCTTTAGAGTCAGTTGTATTTACATTCAGTATAACTTGTTATGATTCAATGTGAAAGAATATACTGTTCAATAAATAATTATCACTTCACCACCTCTCTTGACATCTAGGCACTTGAGAGTGAGTCAGAGGCAGAATACAGGGACAGTGGAGAGAGGTCCATTGCTGAGGTGAGTGATGAAAGGGAAATGACAGTTGAGAGTAAATTGTGATGTGGACTCTCATCCCAGGATTTTAAGGAAATCAGTGGGGATATTGAACAGGAAACATTTCAGTCAAGGGGCATCATATGACCAATATAGACAGAAGAGCAACATTTATTTGAACATTTAAGTCAATGATACCATTCCTAGGTGAATTTAACATCTGTATGGAGTCAGATCAGTCTCAATATTAATAAATGCTCACAGAAGGATTCACAAATGTATTTTGCGATTTATATATAAATGACTCTCCACAACAATATCTCTCAATGCACTCACAAATATTTATTGTTGTATATAAATGTACAAAAAATGGGCATTTAAACTGCTTTTTATTAATTCAAAGACAGCTCTGAATTAATAATCAAATATGTTTCCTTTCTTTACTACTGGATGAAATTACAAAATGTACCCATCATTTTCCTCATGCTAGTATAGCCACATAAAAGTATCAAACCACCTGTTAAAATGCACCAGAATACAGGAAATCTATATATTTTTTCGCCCCCACACCCCCCGTTAAAAATGTCCCCCCCACATTCAGGATGCTTCCTACGCCCATGAATCTGCAATTAAAAAGCACCATGGGAGGCAGCTATCACATCTGCCTCACTGAGGGGGACGTGTCTTCAGCCCATGTAAAAGTCTTTAAAGAGGCCGTATTATGCTTTATGGGGTCTTCCCTTCTCTGTAGTGTGTTAGGTAGGTTGTTGTGCATGTAAATGGTCTGCAAATGCTAAAATCCCAAAGCTCCCTCCAAAGGGGGGTTTCTCTCCCACACACCCCCACCCCTGCCTGAAACACCTCCATTAGACTTCTTTGTTTACTTCCGTAACATAATGACATCACTATGTAACACTTGCCCTTCTATTGGCCAACACATTTGATTTGTTACACTAAGGGGCTGGACATTTCCAAGTGGATGACCCATAACAACAAAGCCGGGTAACTAACCAACCAGAGCAGACTGATACAAATACAAATACGTAGCTGTAGGCCTATGTGTGTGTTGTAAAGAATGCTCTTATGAAATATGAAACATATAGTTGCTGAACTAGTGATTGAGCAACCTCCCAGTTGAATGGGACCAACCTCTATGGGGAATCAAAACGTGTAAATGTGGCTCTGATAGTAACCCACGTCAATGATCTGTTGCACTTCCTTATGTAAACAATAGTTTATGGGGAATTCTCATGCGCCACAGAAATAAAGTGTACCTTGTAAACGTGCAGTTATTTGTGTACAGTGTAGGTCTTGTTTCAACAATAAGGGGGACACATGTTATGCTGCTTCTTCTGATGTTTTACCATGAAAATGTATTGTGGAAATGTCTTGATTCAAGAGAAAAAAACTGAATTCAGGCGGCAGGAGTCAACAAAAATATATAAAGGATTACAATGCAGTTAGGCTATCAGGCATTCTGTATTGATTAGAATATGTATTCTCCTGTAAAAATTGAATATTATCCAGGCATTTTTTTGCATTCCCTCCTCTTTTGTTTCTTTTGTTTGAGGAAATAAACTCTTTAAACGTGCATGTAGCACTGACTCACATACATGAACTAATTTAGTGTACATACCCCTTGATATTCATTGTGCACGTATTTGTATGAATGTTGCGACGTAGCCATTTGAATGTTAAGCAAATATCAGCTCATCTACGTCAGGCATGCTATTTTGAAAATGCTATTTTCTTACTGTATATACATTCTCTTTCTCCCACCACACTCTCTTACATTCATACTGTGAACCCTAAACTATTTAAAATGGCAGTGAGGAAAAGAAAGTGTCTCAAACTCCCTGTGTCTCTTTCCTTTGAAGCCAAATATAGAACGGCATTTTAATTCTTCATGAATTGGTTGATGTCATTCAAGCCAATCACTTCTCTGCCTAGTGAAGTCAGTCACTTTCACAGAGCCCATCTGAAGCTGTAATTATTGTGTTGCATAACAGGTTCTTCAACCAATACAAAGGCAGTTCTAACCAGGCAAATGTACGTGCTAATCTTATCATATCCCAAACATCACAAAACTTATTTTTTTTAGTTTTTCGTCCTTGTTTTTAAATATGAATGTGCACCACCCAGTCTTTTACTCATCAAATATTTAAAGGCATTTGCTCTCTCGAAGAATTACAGCCATTGCGGGCTTCATGAATATAAATTAAACTTTGAATTAATCTTGAGAATTTTCTCAAATAGAGTTAATGCCACAAGGATCCTTTACCCTGTTATCCTCTTTTTGTATCACTCCGTTCTGTCACCCACCTCCCTCTGTCCCTTCATCCATCTCTTAATAATTAAAGAAAATGCCCTCGATTCCTAGACTCATCACACGGCTATATGACAACTGGGTCTGGACAAGTGTCGGGGGACACCTATCACCTCGAGCTGTTGCAGTGTCAGGAGAACACTTCTGTTACTGATGCCCCACATCCTGCAGTTTGTTCTGCTGCCGTTCCACTGCATGGTATGGCTCTACTCGACCAACCTTTTTTTGGTTTACCATTCGGAAAAGATGTGGGTAGTATATGCCCTGTTTTTAGTTTTTTTTGGCTCTCAGCAAGCTTGGCCATTATTAAATGGTGACATTAAAAGAGAGAAAATTGTCACTAGTGCTTCCATGGAAATCATGCACATGCCCAGCGGTTTTAAATTAAAAACAACCATTAACAGTGAGCATTTTTCTCTCGCCAGTCGCTCCTTCTCTTTAGCTGTTTTTATTTATTTGTGTTTCCTTTTTCTTTTCTATACTGGGGAAAGTTTTGCCAATTTCAATCCAAAGCCTTGTGCTTTCCACATTTATATAACAAATAATATTTTCTGAAAGTATTCCCTGTTGTTCTGTGACGGAGGAAAGTTAATTTTGTTTTCGTCAACAGCTCACTTAAATTGACCGGACATCTTTCTGCAGATTGATATGAGTGAACATGCAGCCCCACTTGAACAGAGAGTCCTTAGCAATAGTCTGCTATCCTAAGAAGTAATTTGCTTTCAAAAAAGAACATCTCAATGTCTGAAATGACTAATCAGAATAGAGTATTCAAATAAGCCGTATCTTAAAATAAAATAATGTCAGACGGCCTTAAAGATGACGAAGTGCAGTGTTCGTTTTTTGGTTGAAAAGTTTCAGTCTTTCTCTTTGTGTGTGTATGTCCTATTCAAACTGGGTCCCACGTGGTACCAAAGGTAAGTTGAGTTGAGTCCAGTTGAGTTGAGTAAAGTCGCACCATGGTGAAAATGGGCTTTCCTGACCAGGATGTCTGAACGACCTGCCTCGGAAACCTCTCTATTACCAACAGGGCCTCAGGAAAGGATAACTTCTGTAAATACTTGACTTGGACTTAACCTCGTAGAGTTTAGAACAAGGTCATTCCCACAGACAGAAACTCAACTTTCTTTCTAAACAGTTTTCAGGGCTTGAAAAAAAAGTTTAAGCCCCACCTGACTCTGTATATCCCCTCTAAAGAACATTCTAGCTTATTTAAGCTCATTCTTTTAGTTCTACACACCACAACTGCACTGATTTGGTCTCAAAGCCTTGGTAAATGGCTGTTTTTAGCCAAAAAAAACTTGAATGTATTTCAGCTTCTTGTTTCTGTTCATCCTGCAATGCTACAATTTACAAAAATGTGTATTATACATTAGGCTGCCAGAAACACAACTTGAAAAGGAATTGATGAAATGTAGAAAACATATATTTACATGTATTTTTTTAAATATCTATATGCCGCTTTTTTGTGAAACCAACTACTAAACTCTAAACTAATAGCTAGTGAAGAAGCCATGCTGGTTGTGTTCTCACCTCATCCAGGTGGACCAGGAAGGTGACGTTGCTTCCCAGGTTGGCGGTGAGTTTTCCGTCTCTGCTGGTTACCAAGAGTCCTTTGGGAGGTCTGTTGGGGCACTGCTGCTTCCTGGCCGTGTACATCTCTTTAACTCCTTTGGTGCAGTTGTTCAACACCACTTTACGGTACCTTAGAAGAGATGTTTTAAAAAAAGGAAATTCCAAAGGTTGCTTAAAAATGACTGCCTTTAGTACTTTTCTAGTTTAATCTAAGGGTGTATTTGGTTTTAAAATGAATACCAAATGTAACATAAGCTTGTGATTTAGAGATGATGTTGAACTAAACAGAGTGGTTTAAGTACAGCTGTTGTCTCTTCTGTTTGCAAACACAATAGCCGCTTTCACACCAAGTACTTTGCCGTACTTAGTTCCCAGCACTTAGTTCCCAGCACTTAGGCCCCAGCTCCACGGGAACGCATACGGCAAAACGCATCGGAGTAACGCAAACGCAACCGCAAAAAACCTTCCGTCCCCACGCAATATACACCGGATTGTGTCAAGCTACACGAGACGGCTCCGTTTACATCCAACCGCTGGAAAAGCTGCAGTACATATGCCGAACCTGTACGTGGCGCTGTAACTTCCTCCACAAAAGCAGCAACTTCCTCCACAAAAGCAGCGAAGAAGAATGGTTGTCATGGCTGCACTTCTGTTTATTCTTCTTGGTGGGGGCCGACGGAACCGGGCAGAGTTTTTCGCCGGTCAACGTGTGTTAAAGTTTAAATCTTCCGGACAAAATTATAAAAGTGCCGGTCAAAGGTCTTCTTTGTTATTTATTGAGCTTTAAAACAAATGAATAACGACGATATAATGATATATAATAATAAAATACACAGAGCCTGTCTCTTTTTCCTCTCTTCTGACAGCGTCAGTGTCTGTCTCATGCAGCAGCTGATCCTGTAATGAGTGACCCGACAGTAAAAATAAACATATTTATAACTAGTTTAGGTAGTTTGAGAGGTAATTAAAATAGCTAAGGGTGATGATCTGACTTGAAGTGTGTGTTTTGCTCCCGCTGCATCACAGCGGGAGGAGCTGCGTGTCTCCGTCCTGTCAGATTAGACTTCACTCGCGTTTATGTCCATATCGAGATAAAGATAAATAATCTGAATTCAGTGTGCAGTGTACTTTTGTAGGGGTGAGTTGGGGACTGGCTTCAGTAGAAGCTGCTGGGACTCCCAGCAGCTTCTACTGAAGCCTTCCGAGTAAATCGCCAGAACGCCGACACCTCCTCATCACTCCACCGCTCCCATGTTTTCTTTTGTGTTGCCATAAGTTAGTCTCTCTCCGTTGGTGGGCTGGGCTAATGCTAATGCTAATAATGCTAATGCCAGCAAATACAATGGCAGCTTCACAAAACTTTTATAACTAACCCTTTAATAAGAGACTCTTCTTATGCCAGGGGCACCACAGGTCCTAGAGGTCTAATATAATTTTGGAAATTCTATAATTAAGCCTTATTGTAAAAAAATACCACATGTACAGATGAATACATTCATTTTAGTCGAATATGAAATAATGTATATTTTTTTACATTTTCATAAATGGTGTAACCGTTACCCTCCCCCACCCCCACAATACCATTGGATTAGCTATGAGTGGGAGCAGCGGTGATTGGAGGAGACGATAACATAAAATAATCATATTCTGAAACCTAACAGTCGTTGAAAATCCAACCCAAAATGACCATAACACATAACAGTTTTTGACATAAAATGTAATGCATGTGTCAGAATGCGCCATTGAGAAATCCTACTGATTACCATAGAGCTGGTCACATAATGTAAGTGTACATTTATTACAAAATATGTGGAAATGTATTAACTGTTGTTTATTACAAAATGCTGCAAATTATATAAATTGTGGATGTTAAGGTCAAAGCACTTAAATCATAAAAGTGGTATTGGTGACCTCATGTAAATCTCTTACAATCTCTTTGGCTGATATACATTCAGACTAGGGTTCGGCACATACCTATGGGGGTATGCAATATAGCATCATGTAGAGTGAGATGATCAAAAAGCATGTAAGACAATATTATTCTCTTAGAATATTATTCTCTTAAATGTAGTAATCGTACAATGATTGAATTTAAACGAATAGTTGTTATATGTTTTAGCCAGCCCGTTAAATCCATATTGTAAGGAGATGCTTTTTGCGAGATCGCATTCCAATTCTAATCTGTAACGGTATCGGCTTTAAAACCCTGCTTCACAAACAGATGTGTTTCGTGCAGATAATGAATGTATGTTACATTATGCATAGATCAAACAGTCCTCACCCGGTGCTGTTGAAGTAGTTCTGACCCTGGCTGCAGCTCCTGGACACGGTGGAGGGGTTGAACCAGAAGGCAGGCCGGCAGTTCCCGTCTCCACGGCGCTCATATCCATAATCACTGTTGGACAACAAAGCACAGCCACACAGCACGGATCAATATCAGCAGGTGAGAGGGGACATATTGTCATACGGTGTGTTCCACATCCCAGTCTTATCTATCTCTTTATAATGGGGACCAGTTCCGGGCTGTCTGCCACCATTATTACATATTGATTAAGGCCAGAGTTGACAAATGTGCCACAGCAATGTGAAGAAAGTGAGCATGGATACACACCCTGGAGGGGTGGTGGTAGTGGGGAGTTGTAACCATACACAGGCTGACTGACTCTCACTTGCCCGCTAGTGTTTCCAATCAGAAAAATGATTTACATCAAACAAAGCAAGGTAAGCAAGTGTCCGTTCTAATAATGGCTGTGACATTGATTAATCAATTAATTACCAAGCCAGAAGAAATAAACAAATCAAAAGCCATTGGCTGACTAGTCTAGTTTGTCTGTGATTACGACAGTGTGAACTTCTCATTAGCAAGCTGTCAAGGCTGATTGGCTGCGCAGGTGCACATGGCCTTAGAGGTTAAAGGGTGATCTGGGTAAAAACAGTCAATGTGTAGCATGGCATGAGGTTGTGATTGGCTACATGTGCTATTCATTGCATCTTGCAATATCAGCATAGAGTTTACACATACAAGGAATTTGCTTTGGTGTCTGGTGGTGTAAACATAACATCTAAGAAAAAAGGTTCCAATAGTAGGTAAAACATATAACGATATTCTATAGTATTTTTAAGAAACGATTTAGCATTAAAATAGATTAAAGACAAGTATTGACACCAAAAAAAACGAAACCACTTAGCACAATGAATATATGACTATATATTGCAAACTAAAGTGTATTATGTAGAGGGCTGTGCAGACATGTGTGCCGAAATGTGGGTCATTGGACATATTTTGACATAATATTTAAGTTTATGTTTGTGGTTTATGTCAAATGGTCCCCGGCCTGATTGACACTGGGGCAATCTGCATGTGGACCAAGGGACATGGCCACTAGAATGAAATCCATTTTACATTAATCTCTTGGAAAGTTGAAATAATAGATTGTAAATAGTTTTATGATTTTATACATGAAAACCCACTAGAATAACACACCTGAATATGCAGCTGGTGTAGAATATCAAATAACATTTACACTGTGCTATATTATGATTAGTATTCAAAAAGTATAGAGGTTTAAAAGCCAGCTTTAATCTTTGGTGAATCAGCCTCTTGTACTGCAGAAAATGATATAATTGCGCTATTTGCAGGTGGCTCTCTGTCTTACATAGCACCATTATTTCATATGGAGCTAATGAGTATCTACTTTAGCTGATTATGTGGCAGACTCTTCACACCTCAAATTATGTTAAAGGATTCAAGCTTTTTTTGGCACTAATGGTTTATAAAATCCTCATTTTTGAATTTTAAGCATGCGTCAAATAATTCCCAGCAGAAGGAGACAGGGACCAAATCAGACGTAGTCACACACAGAAAATAAAACTAGCTTTAGTTCATTTGGAAGCATTTGGCATACTACAAACACTAACTGCTGTATGTTTGGATGCCTTCTTTTTTGTTTTTCTGTCATTACAAGATAAAAATTACAACCGTTTACGATTTGCATACAAATTGAAAGTATTTACACCCACGCTATCATCTCAACAGAATTACAAGCATAGCGAGCAAACAGAGACAGACAGTACGAGCAAATTGTGCAAAACCATCCCAAACTTATCAGATTATTGGAAAACACACAGCAAATGGAGTAAATTAATGAGACACATGAATAGCATATGCAATGGATTACAACTAAATGGCTTAGAAATTGGCCTCGATGAAAAGTAGAAATGGTGTTTGTATAGAACTCCTTGCCCCCCCCACAAGGTTGCATGCTTCACTTGATGCAATGTTTATTTTCTGATTACAAAAGACGTGACACCTGTCTTATTGTTTTTTAAATGTATTTGACCTTGGAATCAACACAGTCCAATTCTCTGCTTAAGAAATACACCTGCAGTACTTTTACAAGAGCTATTAAAGAGGAAATATTATGCACATTTTCAGGTGTCATATTTGTATACTGTGACATGTCTCCATGCTTTAATGTTCAAAAAGCTCTTTTTTTTTCTCATACTGCCTGTGCTGCAGCACCTCTTTTCACCCTCTGTCTGAAACCAGAGCTCAGTCTGCTCTGATTGGTTAGCTGGTCAGCTCTGTTGTGATTGAATGGCCACCCCCTTAGAGATGTATCGGGAATTTCCCACCACTTAGCATATCACATAACATGTGTTGGATATAGTGATGTCACTATGTTACGGAAGTAAACAAAGGAGTCCAATGGAGGCTGTGTTGTAGGTGTCCCTAACCTTAAAAAAAAGTGTTTTAGTACTGTTGTTAACGTTTACGCAATTAATCTGTAAGCCTTAACACGTGTTTACGCAAATGAATCACATTAACAAGTTTGACCTCAACTACCTTAAGTAATTCCAGCGCGGATGAACCATGAATTGCATGGCAATGAAAAGGCAAAGAAAACTGAGAGCATAAGCTGTATTGCACTGACTGGAGACCACTGGACATCAGTAAGCAGGAAGAACACACCAAATCCATGACAAATGGTTACTATATTTTTTAGCTTTAAAAAATGTAGTAACCATGATGATGATGGTGAAAATGGAGGAAAAGCATTTTGCCGAAACATGTGCACAGGTTCTTGAAGTGGCACAGGAGTGGGAGATTAACAGTTAATTTCTTTACTACAACACCACAGGTGTATTTGTTTGTCTTCCCCCAAAATACAGGTAAATACTAGTAATTTAAACTGACAGTTTATTTTTGTGATTAAAGCAATTTCATCTTTTAATCAATTTACAGCAATAGTTATTGGATAACCATTAATAAAAAGGACACATTTATGTAAAAGTGAAGCTAAAAAACATCAGTGTTTGTAACTAAGGTACTTAGATCAACAGAGAGAGCACATTTTGTTGACTGGAGAGGGTATTCAATAGTGGCTAGGTGGATGTACTTGAGCATAACAAATGGCTGCTGAAGGGCAGCTGTTTTTTTTCTTTTAGTTTGAATAAAGAACCTGTTGGTTGGCTGAAACAAGGACAGACATTTAACAACATTCCCATTTGACAGCAGCCTAATAGAAAATAATGAAATGACTAACCAATTCAACAAAGAAGCATGAAACAACGCTTTGTGTGTTGCAGCGTTGGAAAAAAAACATTGATGTTAATGAAGCTCTACGTAAGCAAACAATAGAGAGAAATATAATCCCCCTCGACGATTATGAAGAAAGGAGCTATTGTACAAAGGCCCGCATCGTCTTACCATTCAAAATCATGAGCGCGACAAATACAGGACTCTGCTGAGAGGATTCTTGAGTAGTCCTTTCCCAGCATGCAGTAGTTCCCAGGCCTGCGCTTCATGTAAATCTGTTTCTGTCCCATCACGCATGGCTCGCCCTGTCGGCACAAGAAGCACAACAACTGTGACTGAAATGTCCTTTTATGAGGTACAATTTCAAGTGTAATGTTGGTATGTTTCTTACCTCATTGTGCAGGTGCCAGGTTTGATAGTCTTCCTCTGTACATTGCCTGCTGAAGATGGACTTGTAGTCTATCTTGATGAGCTGCCATTCAGAACGGTGGCTGAAGTGTCCAAAAAATCTACGGAGGCAAATCAGAAGATTACTTTATATCATAATTAACATAATCTGTACTGTGACCGAGCTTCATTGAACATTAAATGTTGTATAGTTTGGATATTTTGTAGTGTAAGGTGCTATTTATTTGTCTCCGGTTCAAGTCAAATCAGAGTGTGGACTGATATAATATTAAAAAGGACATATTATGATCATTTTCAGGTTCATATTTTTATTTTGTTCCCCTTTCTGTGACATGTCTCCATGCTTTAATGTTCAAAAAGCTCTTTATTTTTCTCATACTGCCTGTGCTGCAGCAACTCTTTTCACACTCTGTCTGCTCTGATTGGTCAACCAAATAGAGATGTGTTGGATATGTCCCACCTCTTAGCATATCACGTTGGAGCGCTAGCTAATAGAAGCGCGAGTGTTTTATAGTGGTGTCACTATGTTATGGAAGTAAACAAAGGAGTCCAATACATACACTTGGGTGGGGGGGTGTGTGGGAGAGACAAAACAATAAAATGGCCTCTTTATTTTTTTCTTATCAGTCTCATTAAACATACTTTCCTTTTTTCTATTCATTTCAGTTTTTATTTACATAGTTCTTAATCATAGCAGAAGTCATCTCTTATGACCATACCCATTTGTCAGGTGACCTAATATCCGCAAAGGTCTGACTAACAGCCTACACGACCCATTACCTGCCCCTCATAAGTGTGGCTTAATAAAGACGAAATACCACAGAGCTTTGAACGGATGCCTTCCTTAAAGGTCTTAATCTGTTTAGCCTTTTCGCTGAGAACCCAGAGGTTTGAACCGAAGAGAGAAAATACCACCCACCTTTCACTCAGCCAACAATACCCACTAAAAGGACAGGTGAATAAACAGCTTTTAACGCGTCTTTGTCCTTTGTTACATTTCTGACTTACGTCATTATTTGGTTTTCGGCCCCAGCCTCCACCAAGACTCCATCCACGAACAGAGGCACTGCGGAGAAGCTGTGTTGGGTCCACTGCCTCCCCTCATCAAAGCTGACCCTGTGTGTCAGAACGCATTCACATCACAAACCCAGCAACAACGATGGCACAAAGACAGACGCTCTCTATTAGAGCCTGGTCATGAGGGGATTTAGGTGGAGATCAGAAAGACGGGTCTCTGAGTCTCTGTGCAATTAGTTACTGTAGCTTTGGGTAAATATCAAAAGGCTGAGCATTAACGGGGGTATTTAGGACAGACTGTCTGGTTCTAAAACAAAGATGCACAAACGTCTCTCCAGAAAGAAAAAAATATTGACGTCAGAGTTCTTTGGTAGAGTCTAGCAGGGGGGGGATAAAAAAGGAAAGACCAGAATAGAACTGTTTTAAGTTCAACTACAAAACTGCAGAGGGAGAATGAGACAGCGAAAACATTGGACAGCTTTCATCATGGGGACCGAGCCTCTATTGATTCTGACATCTTATCAACATCTTGCTGCAGTGAGAACAACTAAGAGTACCTGACTGTGACATGGGTAGAAACACTGCTGAGGCCTGTGCTCGGAAGAAAGAAAACCCCTGTGTTATAACTGAAAAAAAACCTTGATTTGGCTAAAAGCACTGTCAACTGAAAAGGCGTTGACATGCACCCATTATGAGATTCTGGCAGGAGTGGCAAGTGTTTAACACTGGCTGAGAAAGCAATACTGTTCTGCTGTACAGAGCTGCAGGGTTCTTTCTATCTGTCATTTTTGTTTTTTCCTCCTCTACCATCACACTTAAATTGGTTGGGAGAAAAAAAAAACAGCAGGCTACACTTCACTGGCTCTAAAACTAATTTCAGAATTGTTGCAAAAGCGACTGGAGAACAGATCTGGTCTCACTTGGATTAGCCTGCACTGAGGCAGAGCGTAGGCACCCAATTTGGCAAGAGGAAGGCAATGTGTTAATGAAAACACTGAAAGGGTGGGGGGGGGGGGGAGGGGGTCAGTGGGCTGTCTGTTAATGATAAGTGGCTTGAAAAAGAAATCTCTCAAATTAGACTGACTGGCATTTTTGTGCAAGAGCCAAAGTGTGTTGTTAAATGAATCAAGTTTGGACTAAAAATAGCTGAGACTGTTCTCTAAATGAACGTACCACAAGTGTTTGGTAGGCACAGATGGCTGCTTGACCGCAACGAGGGCCCCTCCTTTGTCCAGAAACCACACGTTGTGCTCCTCTTCAAAAATCTAAGCAGAAATAAATCATTTTAATGTTGATGCAACAGGCAAAATATGACTTTTGTTATTACAAGAAACCCTGATTTTAGCAATGACCATTCGCTAGCCCCACCAACATTTTGGTGAGTATGAACTCCTCTCCCTACCAATATTTCTTAGTGAATATGCTCCCATGTGAACATGGCTCTCATAAATATAGGGTTACAATAAGGGTTTGGGCATGACAATTGAATAATAGACATAAGCACAGAAAAAAAGAAAAAAGAAGAAAATAAATAATCGCAACATAGAATTAATCTTACAAAATGTGTGTTTCTAGAAGTGGTATTTTTTAATGCAGATATGTGACATTAAGCTAGCTTGCGCCAAACTCTGAAAGTAAAGCAGCTAAATGTAATTATTATTGGCGCATGATGTATCAGAAAGGATGTATCAGAAATGTCCTACGAAAACTCTTTGTGGAAAGCTTGACAGGTGTAGCAACAGTAACTAAGGAAGCAGGGCTTAGTAAAGTATAAACTAGGTTATATGACAAAACACGCTTATACAATAGAGTTGTGCACAAATGAGTCCTTAAACCCTGAATGAGTTAAGGTTTTCCCACTTTCAGTTCCCTAATCTCGAAGCCAACATTTTTTAGAATGATTTTAATGTGAAGCCTGAAATAAGGTCTATGCAAGCTGAAAGGATTTTCATAAAGTTTTTATGCATCTTCAAAACAGCGGTTGCTAACAACGAGCTAAATGAAACGACTAAACGCCCAACGTTAGCCGCCTTTAGCTTTGCGGTGGTGATGCACAGCCATTTAGTAGTGTTAATGTGTGGAGATTATCCTGCTGAACAAAACGCTTTAGTATCATACATGTGTGTTTGCAAAAGCTTGGCTTAGTCAAATATGTCCTCGCTGCACCACTCTATACATTTGGTAATCATGTAGTTCTTATATTAAAACGTCAAACTGTTGTAAAAGTCTGTCATTTGACTTGATCTCACTGTGACGCTCACCTGTCTCCAGCTATTGCCAGCATCAGACGATATGAACATGCCCACGTTGTTGTAAGACAGCTCTGCTCCAATATTTCCTGCAATGAAAATGCCAACAGAATATGTGACACAACTGAAATGGATAACTCACAGACAAAGGGGCCATGTTTTTAAATACAAGCTGCCAATCACACCACAGCTGTGATTAATCATTCCTCTGGCTAGGTTCCCAGATCAGCTTTCCATCTCCTATTCATGTGGATAACACAGAGAAGACCCTAGGTTAATTCCTATGGATGCCTGCATCATTCAGGCGCCATCATGTGAGATGTGAAGGCGGGGGCCTCCTTCGCTCTGGCAGTTTGCAGCGTTACAAACATAATGCCTCCAAAGCTTTTCCTGCGAGTGTGCACGAGTGAACTGACTTCTCCCGTTGATCCGCTCTACTATCTTGGCCACGGCTCAGTAAATAGGCATGTGTTTGATCTGGATGGTGTTTGTCATGTTGGTGAGATGATCTCCGCGCCAGCTGACGTCTTAAAAGGCGCAGCGGGCAAAGTGAATCACGGTGCCAAAGCAAAGGCTCGGCCAGAGATACACAGACGCACAAAGACACACTGTGCAAGCAGAGCAGCGGAGTGGTATGTTTATTCAGCATTCACACACACAAAAGACAAAACAGACAGATCTAAAGACTCGACACACACACTCACGTAAGGACATACACACTCTTTCACAGTTGTTTCTGCTGACACCGCCACTGGTGCGAAGAAATCTATTTATTCTTAACTCATCTACATTTCCTTGCTTCAACTCTTTCACATGATCTAGCAGTTAGTGGCACCTTTTCTCCCCATGCATAATTGGCTGTTTGATGAAATGACATCAAAACAGGTGTGATCCACAACATATATGCTTGTGGAAGAAGTGAATATCCTGCAGTGCTCTGTGCCCAGTGTAGCTTAAGGAATTACTGAGAATGGTACTTAAGTGGGAGGGCATGCAAGGGTCACAGTGCTGAGGCATTATTTTGTCAACAGCTGACTGGAACAATACAGTACAACCCCAAAATATCAGTTTTTGAAAAATATGTATGAACATTTATCTAGTTCAAACTCACACAGGCCCTGCCCTCTTTTGGTCTCTATGGGTAATGCCCTAAGCCCCCAGAAAGTGCACCGGCCGCTGAAGAGAACTTTTGTAGTGGCCAAACTGCTACAAAAGCGGTTGTTGTACCACGGTACAACAACTACTGTGTCAGTCCATGACATCATTGGGCCCAAAAATACTTTTCCCCATTGAATTACTTTGGGAAAAATATGTCTGTGAATCAGCATTTTTTTGTTGTTGAGCTGAATAAACTATCCAGCACAAACACTTTAATAGCCCTTATTTAAGGGTCTTCAAGTTGTAAAGTGCACTATAGGCCCAATCCTGTATCCATTTAAGTGCCAACTATACAGCTTTTTACAAGGATGAATTGGCTGCTTCGAGCACCTCTATGTTTTGGAGCAACAGGGCGAACAGTTGTCGGGCTCCACCCATGGCAACCATAGATGAGAGCAACCCATCAGTACTTTCCCTCAACGTTCTGGCCGCGCCCCTTAATGGGTGAAAATATCTGCTGTCAATTGACTGGCTGCAAAAACAAATTCTGTATGGTAGGTATGGAATGGTAGGTTCTGTAGATATTTGCTAATACATCAAAACAATTAAGCAAAGTAAAGTGTGCATGTTTGTATCTACATTGAGCCCAAATCCGACTCCGGTTAGTCAGGCAAACAATGACACAGGAATCAATGGATTCAGGGTAGGCTCGTCCTGATGAGCAGGCTGCATTTATATACATTTACGTGGGAAGGTCTAGAATAGCATATCCCTGTGTTTTTAGAACTAGGGTTACAATACGTAACCTTGGCGACTAAAAACAATGTCTTTATTGCAAACAAACAACAATCACAAACAAGTTGCATCAGTAGAAAGAGAAGACGACAGCCTTCACGTGGCCTCCTCTTTGAGTAGCAAGAAATGGTGCAAGACCAACTTGCGAAACGAATGTCGCCAACCAAACGTCGAGCTGGTAGGCCTAGGAACGGCGGACGGGCAGTCATCCCGACCGTCGATAACCGAGGCCTGGCAGTGCTTCAACTCAATTGGAGGCAGGAGTGGGAGCTAGCCGGGCCCTCCCGCATCCATCGCTACATCTGGGACCCAGGAGATGGCGCCATAGGAGGAGACGACCTACCACGCCGGCAATGGACCACACTAAACCGTCTACGAACTGGGGTCGGTCGATTCAAAACATCAATGAAGAAGTGGGGCCTGGCAGACAGTGCTGCATGCGAGTGCGGTGACCCTGAACAGACTGCCTAACATATAATAACCACCTGCCCTTTATATAGACCACCCTCGGAAGCCAGCCTCTTCGACGTAGGACCAGAGATGCGGGCATGGCTACACGACACCGAGTTGGACCTCTGACGTTACACGAAAGAAGTAGAACGAGTATATGTTAAATGGCTACAAAATGCAATTGTGTTGAGTCTTTTTTCTTACCTGTGGCGACTATAATCCCCGGTGCAGAACTCTTGGTGGAGATTGTTCCTGACAAGTAAGGGTTCTCTGACGTTTGCAGCTGTAGATTGAGTGAACAGAAAGGCTGCAGCAAAAGAGGAATACATATGTTAAGTTTAAGATGTAATACATACATGCATTTACATTTGCATCTCATTGGAAAATCACTTTTACCTTGTCTAGATTTAGAGTTTATATGATATGAATTAATCCTATTTTCACAATGAATCATAATAAAGAGAGGGTCAAAAGAAAGGTTTGGAATGGAACCATCACACAACAAGCCAGATTCATTAGTCTCCCAAAAAGAAAGGAATGTGCCTTCATACAGTTCTGCTAATTGCATTTGTTTTGTCATTAAAACAAAGAGCTACGGAATTTGCATTAAAGTACGATGCAAAGTCTCTAGGGCATGCACACAACAGAAGACAATTACATTTGTTCACAGAGCAGAAAAAAGCGTGTCTGCCTTCATCTTTGCAGCAGACAGCATGTCACTGGTGTAAGGACATCAAGGGCGATGGGACTGAACAGGGTAATCAAAAGGAATCTACAGCAGTAATTAAAATGTCACATGAACGCCCAATCACAGGGAACTGGTAAGCCACACCGCACGGGCAAGACATCACCTCTTAAACAACACGATCACCCACTAATGTCTCTCAGCAGTCATGCTGTGAGTTTTAGTTAAAGGGAGGCTGTCTAAAGAGGGACAAGATGCTGTCAACAAATACAGCATGGCATCTGAACTGACTTATTTTTAAAGCACAATTAGTGAGAGTTTATCATTTGTATCATTGGGTGGCTGTGGTTCAGGGGGAAAATGGACGTCTACAAATCAGAGGGTAGGTTGTTCGATCCCCAGTCAACTTTTTATAGGGCAAGATTGTCAACCCCGAAATGTTTCCAATGGCACATTTATTGTATTGAAGAATGTGTGATTTGCCCAATCAAAAACAGTCATGTCGACCCCAAAACACATTTTGAGGTCTGTTGGAGAGAGCTTTTGGAGCGGGACCCTCTTCGTTCATTCCTTTAAGAGATGCTCAGCAGGGCCTGACACCAAAATGGCCTGACCATTTGGATAAAAGTGTCAGCTAAATCACATGTTATGTAACACCTATAATTAATACTCATATCAAGTTTGCCACAGTATATTGCAGAAAAAGGTAACAATTAACTATTATAGAATTTCTCTTATGATTTGACATGAAGAAAAAAGCTCTGCATGTGATCCTCAAAATATTTTCATGTGGAAGAAGTGGAGGCCCTGCAGGCACTGTGCCCAGTGTAGCTTGAAGAATCACTGAGACAGGTATACTTAAGTGAGAGGGCATGCAGGGGTCACAGAAGTTTCGGGTCTAGCAGCCGGAAAATCAAACTACAACTTTTCATCTAAAATATATGGCTTTTATCATTTCAAATGCAAATGTGTACCTGTGTTGAGTGTTTTGTATTACCAGTGCAATTATACTTAATGGATGGTTAATGGACATGCATTACAATATTTGTCCAGGTTTAACAACCCGTCAAAGTGCTTTACACAAAAGAAAGTCAGCAATTACCCATAAGTTTGTTGCCCAAGGACACATGACTGCAGGGGATCGAACCAACAACCTTCAGATTGTTGGACGACTATTTACCCCCTGAGCTGCCCCTTCCTTGTGCAGAACTCTTTGTAAATGAACTTGCCATTTCCAAAGTGTAATTTAAAAATAAATTCTTACTAAACAATAATATAAGGTTTGCCACAGAATGTTGAGGTACTTTACATTTGATTTAGCTCTTGTTGTATTCAAAGCGACTTACAATAAGAGTATGCAGGTTAATTTGCTTCAAATAGTGCTTGTGCATTCGTTTAGTAGTCTCAAATAGGCTAAACTATTTATATGCTATTAGTTTTAACAAAACTGACCTCTTCGAAAAATGAATTAAAATATTGTATTTTAAATCAGCTGGTTTATTCTATGAAACGTTTTATAATTGAAAGGGTCTTCAGTATTACCAATTCAATACCACCTTCCAATAAGGCAATGTACAAACAAATGTCAACTACATAAAAAAGACATTGAAATGTTATCCTTGGTTTCTAGATCAGCTACAATGAATAACAACATCTCACTGCATGTTAAAGTAAACCATGTATATGGTTACTTTATATCCCAATGGTAATCAATTGATTTAGTCCATATGACTTGCAGTTCTTTTCCTAAGGAAGAACAATTCATGGGAGGATTTTCATGATAAACTACAGAGCTAGCAGTTTGAATCCCAAACCGACAGAATGGGTCTGAGTTAATAATAATATGACAATATACCATATTTACATACAATAGCTTCTTATTAAATACAATCCCCTGTGCATAACATATTCTTAATGGTCACTACGTACCATAACATTGTCCCACCATGGCCTCAGAAAATTAAAGACATTAAAGACATGGCTGATAGCAAGCAAAGTGCTACCGATAATCCATTAATAAGGGTAATGTAACAATTATTTAAAATGATATAGTCAAATGTTTCTTACATGTCTTTGTAAAAACAATTGAACGTGCATTCCTCACCAGTATGCAGTGAATGTCGTTTCCATCCAGGTCAGTGGCAGGAGCCTGCAGGAGCCTCCAGTCCCGGCCCTTGTTGTAGGTCATGAAGGTCTTCACCTGGTTGTCTTGCCTCTTGTTTGCGATCAACATCCCTTTAATCCCTGCAACCTGACACACACACACACACACACACACACACACACACACACACACACACACACACACACACACACACACACACACACACACACACACACACACACACACACACACACACACACACACACACACACACACACACACACACACACACACACACACACACACACACACACACACACAGGTTCAAATCTCATCTCTACCCTCTCAGTTTATATTTACTTCTCCCATAACAGTTTAGTCTTCCGTTGCAGATGAAAAAGCATACCCAGAGCTCTCGTCAGAAAGTGCATTTTGTGTATCAAGGCACCAATCTTCTCAGTACAAGCGCAGTAAAATGCAAATGGTGTGTTTATTCCTTTCTTGCTGACAGTCTGGCAGCAGACTCGGCTGCATTTTTCTTACTCCTCGCTAAGTGCTATCAGTAATTATATCCTTACACGTCTCTGCAATCCAGACGGAACAAAAATGACGACCGTTGAGAAGTTGTCTGTTTTAGTTTAATCTTCCCAAACACACTCCAAAATCAGGTTTTAGACACATCCCTCAACTTAACCAAAGCAATGGAAATAGTGGTTGCCATAGTAAGGGGCAATGCTGAGTCCCTGAAGGGAGCATGTCTGAATAAGTGGCACTAATAGGCTGCGCATCTGACATTGTCATAGAAACATGGCGCTCAGGATAGATGCGGATAACGAGGGGTCCTATTGTCCTCACCCAACCCGACCTGTCAATCACTGCAGTAATTATTTACTGCCTCAACCTCCTCCATCACATGTGCACGCACACACCTGCACACAAACAAGGAGACCCACGCATCCCCACCAGCATACACTTCTCTCCATCCATCCATCACTCACACCACCCACACTCTACTTTCTTGACAACATGGTGAAGGACGCAGGCATATATCTTTATTCTACAGCACAGATTACTCTGAGGGGTGCAGCACTAAAGGAATTCTCCCACTACTTTTAGAAACTGTTATGTGCCATCGTTGTGTTTTAAAGCAGTTCTGCCATTTGAGTAGGAATACAAAAAGGGGATAAAGCTGTAATGTGATCAGAGACAGGGAACATCCTGCTGGTTTTAATCATCTCTGCCACCATCAGTGATGCATGAGTCATAACCATGACCTAGGAAATAATCTTACATTTGTTAGGGAATCATTTGTTTACATTACATGTCATTTGTTAGACGCTTTTATCCAAAGCGACTTACATACATTCAGTACTGTGGACAATCCTGCAGGAGCAATTTGGGGTGAAGTGTCTTGCCCAGGGACACAACGACATGCTGACTGCAGTGGGACTCGAACTTGCTATCCCCTGATTCAAAGTCCAGCACTCTATCCAATGAGCCACAGCCGTTCCCCTCTACATATCCCTCATATAGCCATATGTGAAACATAAAACTCAACCATTGCAGTTTATTGCATCATATGATCACAACAAATTAATATAATCTATCTTCAATGCATCGTTTCCAAATCAAATTCCTGTTATTTTCAATTCAACTGAGCTTTCATTAATTATTTTTTTTACAATATTTGATTGTAGTGTTTGGTTACATCTTTGGACAGGTGTGTGGAATAAAAAAATGTCATTGTATGTCACAAGACTTTAAAGAAAATACACGTGCCAGGTTTTTTAATTTTATTATTATGCAATAGCCCTTAAGGTTTACTCCTCGTTCAACCATCCTCTTTAGAGATTTGAAATACATTTGAAATGCCACATCCTTCTCTAAGCAGATTTTATAAAAAAATGTAATTATTATTTTCTCTCACTTAAAGAGCACTACTTTTTTTGGGAGTCCTTTTTTTAAAATGTCAGTGCAGATCATTAATTATTGCAGTCCTAGCTGCTCTAGAAACTCTTTAACAAAGAGTCCAATACACAAGGTTATTTAATATTTATTCATATAAAGAAAAACGATATAAAGATCTAGAACCAGATAATATTTGGGATTTCAGTTAGATGACCCACATCATTAATCCATAACATGAACTCGTATACTCTTTCTATAAGGAATTAAGATATCCATTTCCAATTAAAGCTGTATTAATGGCATTTTTGCTAAGCAGCAAAAGCAGCTAAAAACACAATAAAAACATATTGTTGTAGCATTAGCATTTTACCCATAAAACAAACAAAGTACCATTAGCATTCATTTGGAGTTCAGTTGTGCACCTGACACATAATAGTTGAACATTCACTCTCTTCTAAGATTTTATTTGATCGCAAACAACACTTATAGAAAATATCTGGCTCTTTAACTCCTGTCCTGTCTGTTCAGTGTTGAGCTGGTTGGAAACACTGCATTTATCTTTGTTTAACCTAAAGTTGTAGTAGTTAGAAAACATACTGAAAGCATAATCCAGAGTTATTTTTCTCTCCATTCATCCGACTGAGTCAAGACCGGCCGTGACACTGTGGATTGGAGGCGGGGTTTATGAGAAACACAGGTGAACATGCTCAGCTACAGGTACTTTTGCTCTGGAGTGTCAGGCCATTTTGGCTTCATTCATCACTGAGCAACCCGGAATAAACGGGGCCCCGCCTCCAATGCTGTATTCCAATGCATTTCTCTTTATAGATCCATGGTTGTTCAACAAATTTGGAGCAGATTTTTAATTAGCGGAGCCATTTGACTTTAAAGTTGGAGGAAACTAGAATCAAGGGTTATCATTTTCTGTAAAAAGAAAGTGACCCCATATTAAATATAGTAATTCAATCCTTTGCTTACAATATCATTATCATGGGGGTCCTATAAATGTATCTGTTTTCTAAAGAATTATATTGAAAGTTTTACTATAAAAACCTAAATAGCCTTCAAAATGAGTATAGTTGTATAAACTAACCTCCTATTGGTCAATTCTACTAACCTTGATTATTTGTGAAAAAAATATTCAATGCATTTTTAAATCACCATCTGTGTCGATAATACCCAAGAATTTACTTTTATTGAAACTATATATTGTATTGTGCTGATGTTGCTTGTTTATTGTGTTTGCTGTTTATTGTAAGGAAAAACTCCATAAAGTCTAAAAGGAAGGAGCTGTTTTGGTTGTGTAGCTTAACATTAAAGAGATGTTGCTTTCCATGTCATTTTAATTTCTAAACTGACTGATCACAATAAACTGTCGGGCTATTAATGTGTCCAATAATGTCCAATAGATTAAAACCTGAGTGCCAATCTGGAAAACGCTGCTATTAATCACATGTTTAATGACTGGCAGGGAATCTAAAGCATTTTACAATATATTTTATAAGGCCCATTTGTTCAATCACAGCTTTATGGGTTTAAAAGTGCTGGCAGAAAACACACAAACATGAAGGGCCACATCAAGGTCAAGGTCAAGGTTCTTTATTTGTCATACGAACATAGCTACAGAGTAGTTATGTCGATGAAAATCTTAGGTCACAGGCTTCTCCAACAGTGCAACACAATAACACAGATAAACAGAAAAATAGAGTGCAAGTAAATATTAAAAAGTAAATACAAAAAGAAAAATAGTTTAAAAAGAATGAAATAGTGAAATAAGAGTCTATATGCAAGCTATTGGAATGATATATTAGATAAATAGATGAATAATTACTAAGTAGCAGATGAATGTTATGGATGTTGTTTCAACAGTTCAGGTGTTTAACAGTCGTATTGCCTGTGGGATGAAACGGGGGGTTACGTATTGTAACCCTAGTTATATAAACACAGGCGGAGCCCTCTACTGGACTCTATGGGTACTACCTTATCCCGCGTGCATTCTCCCACTGAGACTTCTATAGACGTAGCCGGCCCAGGGCGGGCCTACCTGAATGCGTGCGCATCACACCGTATAAAAGGAGGCCTCGCCTCCTGACTATCATCCTATACCTCTCTTCAGCGAGCGGAATAGAACAGACAGTGCCCTGAGTAGAGGGCTCCGCCTGTGTTTATATAACTAGGGTTACAATACGTAACCCCCCGTTATATCTCTCACAGGCTCCGCCCTCTACTGGACTCTATGGGTACAGTGGGTGGAGCCCTGATGTATACGCGCACTGTCGTCCAACACCATTCCACCCTACTGCCCCTGACCGGCTTTTCTGGTCAGCAGCTGCTGCCCCACACTCTCCCTTAACCCGGTTGTGACCGAGGAGAAATCTGGGCTGCGGCTGACAGAGCACACCCTGCTGCGCTTACCTTGCAGAAAGTGTGCTCAAAAAACAGTGCCGGGGGACCCCCCCCCACCCCGCCCATAGACGGGTGGGGAGAGCCCCCTCGGCCCCGTATGGGCTTGCTACGCACCTGCCTTCCTGAATCCCTGAGGATAACAGGGAGAGCGCCAGCGCCCATGCCTCACACTCAAGCACTGACCCCGTGCAGAGTGTGAGAGGACTAAAAATGTGGGGGGGGCCTTCGCCCGCGCACCTTGCCTATCCCGGGACCCTCAGAGGGCCCAGGAAAGGTGAAGGCGCATCACGTCCGGGGAGGGGGTCAGATGCCAACTGACCCACAACCCCCCCCCCCCCCCCCGCTACAAATCCTGTGGTGCCCCAGCAAGCACAGACGAGGAGAAAGAGCCAGACATGTCCAAGAGATAAAACCTTATAAAGGGGCCTGGCGTCGACCAAGACGCCGCTGTGCATAAATCCTCCACACTGTTGAATATGGCTGTTGACACAGCTACAGCCCGTGTGGAGTGCGCACGAATCCCCGTGGGGCAGGCTCTCCCTGCCTGTCCGTAGGCATGTGCAATGCACTCGCAGAGCCAGCCTGCCAGGCGTTTCTTGGACAGAGCTTTCCCGATCACCCCGCCCCCAAAGCACACGAACAGCTGTTCGGTGCGTTTAAGGGCAGCCGTGTGCTCCACATAACATGCTAGCGCACGCACCGGGCAGAAGAGGTGCAGTTTAGCCTCCCTGGCCCCCCATGGGGGGGAGACTAAAACCCCCTAACTGAATAGCCCTCGACCTGAACGCACTCCTTAGGTCTTTAGGCACAAAGGAGGGGTTCGGTCTAAGTGT